TAGGGTTTAGGGTTTAGGGACTTACGCCTCTCCCTTCATACGGTTGATGATATAAACCCTGCATTATCCATAGTAAAGGAATACACCATAATTACCATCGCTTAGGGTCCTTAAGGTAATGCAGGATTTATATCATCAACAGTAGGGATTATACTACTAAGGATCCCGAGGGTACCATCCCTAAGATATCCCTGAGCACGAAACAGGGGTCTGCATCAGGACCCCGGTCATGCAAATCTGTAGTACCCTAAACCCTAAACCCTAAACCGTAGAATGGGTTTAGGGTTTAGGGGTTTAGGGTTGGAATACTATAGAAGCCTGAATAACTCACAAGACTATGCCTTGGGGCTCCTTATGAATGCAAATGTACTACTGTTGATGATATAAATATGGTATATCCCTTATTGTGGGTGATGCAGGATCTATATCATCAACCGTATGATGTACCCAAGACCTTCTTTGACAATAACTATTCCTTCGAACTCCTCGTAAGTGAAGACATACTATGGTATACACCAAGACCTTAAACCCCAAACCCCAAGACCCTAAGCCCTAAACCCTATAGCCTAAACCCTAATCCATCAGAAGCCGCGAGGCCAGGTTGCCACTCTCCCTCGCCGCAATCTCCAAATCCTGCGCCAAGACTCAGTGACATCTGGGTTCGAGGTTTTGAACCCGATGGCCCTAGTGTAGAGGACGTAATAATTGAGCAGATTTGGGTTTAGGGGTATAGCATGCAAAGAGAAACATGACAGGACTATGACGGGATACTGTGACTGTTTCTGCCGCTCATTTAGTAAAGCCCAAACCTGCTTGGGAGTGAAGGGCCTCGGATCTACAGGAGCTGTGGACAGGGCACTGGATTGAAAGCTGTCGGCGAGGGATGCAGAGTGTCGTCAGCGTAGGACTCAAAAAGAAGGTTGTAGACTTTAGGCCGAAACCCTAAACACTAAGCCCTAAGCCCTAAACCCTAAACCCTAAGCCCTAGACCTTTTTCCAAGGAAGAGCGGAATGAAGCTGAAGTTCAGATGGTTCTTCTGCCGATGGAAGGTTGCAACTGACGGCAGCGGTTTGAGATTCAGTTTCGGACGCTGCTTGAAGGCCGCCCCCAAAGTCCGTAGGTCTAGCTCTGAGTGCTGAGGCTCATGGGTTTAGGGAAGCCGCCGACGCATCTGGTTCTGCGGGGCGGCCAAATGTCTGGGCATGCCAACTTGGAGGGTCAGGAGACTTAGTAAGTGGGTAATAAGTAGAGTCATAAGTACCTTAAAAAGGGATCCTAATTTTGGGGTTATGATACTTATAACTCTATAAAACTAACTACTTACTAAGTCCCCCGACCCTCCAAGAATCAGAACACAGACCGCAAGGCGAGTGGGACGAGGCTTCCGATGGGCAGGCTTCAAATCCATGACGGTTTAGGGTTTAGGCTTTAGGGTTTAGGGTTTAGGGTTTAGGGTTTTGGGTTTAGGGTTTAGGGTTTTGAGTTTAGGGTTTAGGGTTTAGGGTCCAGAGGCCACAGAAGTGAAATCGATGCATTGACATCTGGCAGCCTGCTACGCTGGCCCGCCGTCCAGCACGTGCCCAACAAACTCGTAGCAGATGTGCAGGTCGTCGTACGCGATGTCGTCCGGTGTAGTGGTAGGAGCGAGCATCTTAGAATACAGTGGGGAGCAGTTTCAGCTCATAGACCATGGGAAGCCAGTGATTTACGTCGCACCACGGTATGTATCCTCAACACGGGCTAAGGGATCTGAAGTAACATGAGAACCAACTACGCACGAAAAGGCACTAGACGAAGTTACACAAAACATCCGACCAACCTGAGGCCGTACCCCTGAAAACCAAACGACACATAACAAATCCTAGACCCTGAAACCAGGACCCCAAACCCTAAACCCTAA